AACTGCATAACCATAGCGTCACTCAAGATGCTTTTGTTTTAAAATCCTGTTATGCTGTCGACCATTTACTTTTTAGGAGTCACTTTCTTAATGATGGTGCCTAATGTTGTTGTCTTCCCTTAGTTTTCCAGCCTCCTATTAAACAATTCCAGCTGGCAGAGCAGGAACAAGCACTTCCATAAGCGTTCCCACGATCCTTCAGTCGGGAGCATGACCTTGCAACCATGTGCCAGCTTTCCTCCCTTGACATAAGAGATAGCAGGAGGTAAAGACAATACTTTGGTTAGAAGGCTTCCTTGCCTAGGGTTGGCTGCTGGAGCTGGGCATTCATAGGCCATCTAAATAGTATCTTCCTCTGGGGACTGCAAGGTTAGAAGGGGAAAGGAATTGATTCCCCTCTCCACATCTTAAAGAAAAGCACCAAACATAACTCTGCTTCCCAGCTATAATAGTTTCCTTCAGTGAGTTGCTAAGTAGGCCCATTTATTATGAAATGTCAATCTAAGCTGGGGTAAAAGTGTCCTTAGCTGATGATCTTTAAGCATCTGGTTTAGCTGGGTGTGGAGGTGGGAAGAGAGCTAATTCCTTTTCCTTTACAGGTCACCTAATGAGATGCAGTTCCTTGGGCTCTAATGTCATGGCAGGGCCCTCATATAACAGTATTTTGTAATGAACACTGCTTCCTACTTTCTCTCTAGGTTTTGTAATCTACAGTTGGTGAGAAGAGGCAATGTTGTATCAAATTTTGCAAGCTTCTGTAGATGTCTGGCTAGAAAATGAGGTCTTGTTCCAATTTGTCTGATTTTTTTTTTTTTGTCCTGGAAGGCACTGTTACAAGTTTATCTGTTTAAGAGGCAAACACTGTCTGGGGAAAGAAGCTGGGGAAAGAAACTTTTTGTACACATGTCCAAACAGAGCAATAGAGGTCTAGAAAGGAAGGATTTGCAACCCGTAAAACCAAAGGAAACAGTCCCAGTTGCTTTGGAGAGGCTCCTTCATAAAGAAAGAGTTAGATTAATGCTGAACCTTTTTTGTTTTCCCTCACTGAAAGACATCATGGTTCTGCAGACTGTTTTTATTCTTGTTTGCCAGTCGGCTCTTCAGAGAGCTGCATTTCAATGAGGGCTTCTCTTTTACAGCCCATCCCATTACTATTACCATTTCCCTTTTTATGAACAGAGAGGCTGCTCTATCAAAAAATAAAACCCCTTGAAAAGGTCAAGCCTAGCAACTTTTAATTTTCTGTAAATAGTAATCTGAATCGTCCACAGGCATACCTGATATCAACAGCATGTTAATGTGTTAGTTCAGTTGCCAAACTCATGTTCAGACGAAATGGAGATGGAGATTTCTTGTAGGAATTGCTTGTCTTCACCTTTAAATCACAGGGGTGCTACTTAAGTGGCTTGGTTTTTACTGAAGATCACATTGGCAACTTGTAGGCCACATGCACTTGGCTCTTTGCGTAGCTGAAATCTGCTGCATTTTATCTGACATCACCTGTATTCTAGTTGGAAACTGTTCACTGAATATGTATTGTTTCACTCTTCTGTGAGGAGCCCCTTTGGAGTTAGAGTAATGCTTGCTAGGGTTGTTGGTTGTAGCCGTGTTGGTCTAAGACATAGACAGACAAGGTTCTTTGAGTAAATGTGATCCCTTTTATTAGACCAACTAAATAGTTGGAAAAATTGTTCTTCACATGGGAATAAATGCTAGGGTAGCATTTTTCAAAAATGCCTAATAATAGTAAAGTGCATTGCAGGTGTTCAGATTGCATCTGACAAGGAATCCCTTGTTAATTTTAACTTGAGCTAAAAGGTTTATTCAGTAAGAATGCTTAGAGGTATAGTTAAGAAGGGGGGGAAAAAGCACTAACTAGCTGTTTCCACTTTTCATAGTGAATATTGTAGATGATGGAATGCCTCTGAGTGACTAGCTGGTATTTGAAACTGAGTTTCCTCCCTGACTGCTAGGGCGCAGCTGACTTGGAGAGGAAGCGCTCACCCTCTTACTTTCCTTTTGAGAGGGGTAGGTGTTCTAATACTGTGTGAACGCCAGTATGTCATGTATGAAGCCTCTTTTTAATCATCATTGTGAAAGTTTGGGTAGAATATTAGCATGAGAAATTCTAAAGTTAAGATTAGCAATGACTGAAAGAGCAAAAAAACAACCTTTTCTACAATTTGGTGGAATTGTGACCTGCTGACTGGAACATGCCTACAAAATGTTGATTTCCATTGCTACTGGAGGTTGCTGCATAGGTATATGCCCAGTGGCAAGGAACATATATATACTGATTTATGGCTGGGGAACCCACTGTACCCAAATGCTCTTCAGGAATAAAAAGTGTGCTTGTGGCTATAACTATGACCAAGCAATAAAGTTGTAGTGCCTGGTATCAGTAACAGAATTGGTACAGCTGGAAGATTCATTTTAGTGTCAGTCTATAGTGGCATGTCTTGTTTGAGAAAACAGTGGCTTTAGATAGTCCAGAAAATAGAAGCTGTTGATTTCACACATCCCTCCCTCTACTTCCCCCAACACATTGGACTTGTATTTGCTCTTTAGTGCCAATAGTTCACACTATGTGCATAATTTCCTGAGCTCTCCAAGAGGACTTAATCGCGGAAGGGAGAGACCTTTGTGGAAGTTGGAGAATTCTTATCCGATTCAAATCTTCATCTTGTACGTGGCTTGCATTTCAACCTAATGAAAATAAGGAAGTGACATTAGTGGAGGAGAAGGGACTAACTTTGTCAGCTCTTCAATTTAACATGCACATTACAAGGGTTTGAAAAGCAGTATGTAAGCAGCCAGTGCCTTGAATATGGAGCAAGTTCCTGCTTTAAATTAAGACAGTAGAATTATCTATTCTCAGATCTTGCCTTCTATGGTAGAAATAGTCTACAAATGTTTTGCTTTATTTTCTGTGCAGAGGTTTGAATTGCATAAACAACATACAATACTGGAATGAACAGTGACTTGACTAGGCTATTGCATTTTCTCAGCGCAGTAAAAGAGCAAGCTCCGTTATGGGTTCTCAGCGCAGTAAAAGAGCAAGCTCCGTTATGGGTGATGGGTGTCAAAATGTATGTGTTTCCGGATGAGAATGAAGTTGTCTGTGTCAGCCAGAGTGTTTAGTTTGTTAGCTTAGGGTGTGAAGGTAATACAGCATAAGATTGTGGGTTTTTTTTTAATGCCATATTCAGTTTGGGGAGCCCTTGTACTCATGCGCTCCAATATGAGATTAATACTCTGATAGTGGCCAGACATTTATTCTATTGAATATTGAATTCTGTTGAAATGGATTGTATTCAGAGGTACAATATGACAGATGATCTGAAACTAGAGCCAATACTTCTACTTGTGTACACCAGCTGTGGTGCAAAGGGAGAGTGCTGCTCTTGAACAGTGAATACATTTTTTTCTATTAAGTCCTTACGTGAACAAATCCAGCTTTTGCACTGACTGCGAATGACCAATCTTCTTCTTTCCACAGAGTGACCAGCAGCTGGATTGTGCCTTGGATTTAATGAGGCGTCTGCCTCCCCAGCAGATAGAGAAAAACCTCAGCGATTTAATTGACTTGGTGAGTAGTATTAATTGGATAAAACATTCAACAGAGAAGGTATTTTGTGCAGCAGGAGATTTGGCTTCTGTAACCGTACAGGTACATTCTGGAAGTGTTGTCACTGAGCAGTTCTCCAGAATCAGTGGGACCCTGTATTTGATAAGACTGATACAAGGTAGGTTCCTGATCTTCTTGGGAAACCTGCTTCTCTCATATCGGTGTTCCTCCTTCCTTATAAGAAAGTATGTTCATCACCGTTTCCATTTTAGACCGATATTTTTTTTTTTCCTGAAAGAAGTCTAATTGGGCACATACAATCTTGCTTAAGGGTGTCATTAACGACATCAAAAATACGGGGTCATCACATTCTTTGAGACTACGCTGCAATAAAGCTATTCAAAACAATTTGTTAAAACTTCAGCCTGCATTTTATTTCCCCTAAACAGGATATTTGCTTGTAACGGATGTTGCTTCTTCTCAGGATGTCTTTCGGCCAGTCCAAAAATTCATTTCTGACACCAGTGTCTCTACTAGAATATCTAACAAAAGTTTGTAGTTTTATTTCCAGTGCGTGAATTGCATTACCATGGGCTTTGGTACACAGCAAAAGCTGCAAGAACTACAGTTTGAAAATCAGATATGTATCAGCAGTTGGCAGATGTGGCTTGATGATGAATACTTACCTTTTGGGGTATTTTCTTTAACTTGTCATGAATAGTGGAATGTTTTAATTCAAGCCTGTACTGTCAAACCATAAGATGTTAAACTGCAGATCACTTCAGTGCTGCTCACCAAAGAGAATGCTGCAACATCAGTGTCATTTGTGGTGCAAACAGCATATATTTTAAGAGTTGGAAACCTGGGACTTCTGAAGAGCACTGGATCCCTTTCATAATGTCACAGAACACCAGACCGTACTCCATAGTCTGCAGTTCAGAAAATGTCCTATAAGTAATCAAACTATCAGCTTCCACCGTGGTGCTCAACGTATAGCTTGCTTTCCCAGGAAATTGATAATGGAAATCAATTCCCCCACAATGAAAATGGCATTTACATTTCACCAGCTATATGGGAATAGTTTGGATTATTTCTTTTGCCTTTAATTTACAAGTGCATATGTGGACTTGCTAGTAAATTTACTAGCAAACAGTATTACCTATTTGCCACACCAAACCTAATCTCATCTCTGGAGAAATCAAGTTGCTATGGGTTATCAAAAATAGGTTACATTACACACACAGCCAATTATAATGGTTGCTGCCAAAACTGATCCTTCTCTCAGTATACAGGAGTCCAAAGATGCTTTTGAATTGGATTTGACCTATGCTTCTTTAGACTGACAATGTTTTTTGGGGACAAGAACTGTCAATTTAAAGTGTCTTTGCTGATAGGGATCTCTGGGTTACAGTAATATAAAGTTAAGAGTGCAAAAAAAAAAAAAAAAAACAGATGAAGGATTAACCTAATCCGTAAGCATAAATCTGATCTCTTCGTATACCGGTGCAATATACTGAGTCCTTCACTAAGTTTAAGCTTTGCAGACAGTAGTTTCCTAACTTGAACTAGGACCTCTTCCAAGGGGAAAAAAAATGAAAACACTGTGTCTGAGATGCTTCTTATGTTTGTATACAGAGTAGCTGCTGCTTATGTTTCATTTGCACCAGAAATGACACTTAACCTTCAGGTAAACTTGGAATATGTTAAGTTGACCTTCTGTCTGAAGGTCTGCTCTCACGTCACTGGCTGTGTCTCCGATAATGGATTACCACACCTGGCTTCAGTCCTTTGTAGAAGATAGCATGTCAGTGGAAGAAGTGGGTTGCGAGAGGATGCAGGGAGGGAAGAACTCTCGCAACTTGACCAGGTTTCTGATATTTGATCTTGCATATTCTCAGCATGTTCCTCCCTTCGGCAGCCAGAGGTGCTCGCCAGAAATAGAAACTGCAAGAGGGGCAATGAGCAAGCCATATTTATAACAAAATAAGCTAGGGGCATGCCTGCACTGAGCTCTGTCAAACAGATAGCTACACCACATGTGTAGGGAATTCAAAGGTTCAAGAAAATTGCTGCTACTCTTATGAGTTTGTCTGTGATGCAAGAGCTTTTTTGTGTTGCTGAATCTTCCGTGGTGAACTTAAAGAATGGAAGACATGGAAAACTAGAAATGACTCAAAAGGGGAGGGTATACCTGCAGAGTGTGATGCAGTAAAAGGCATTGTGGCATCTTTTTTTTTAACAACTGTCTGGATGAATTTTCCATGGGAAGCCACAGAAATACTTCTGCTGAAAATTCAGTTAAATGAGGTAATCTGCCTCTGACATTTCCTATTACAGGTTTTTTTGTTTTTTTTGTTTTTTTTATTGAGAGTGAAACCAACATGGACTCATGGATTCATAACATTGTCACTTAAAACCGTGTCGTTCTTGTAAACTTGGACAATTTTCTTTTTTAAGCAAAAGCCAGCTGTATGTCACTGTATTAAATCTGGGTAATTTTCATTTCTGTTAGAAATATTCATAGTTTCATAGTTTCATAGATTTAGGGTCGGAAGGGACCTAATAGATCTTCTAGCCCGACCCCCCGCCAGGGCGGGAGAACAACAAAACCCCAAAACAAAAACGGGACTCAAATGAGTCCAGCCAGGTAGGCATCCAGCCTCTTCTTAAAGACCCCCAGGGTAGGGGCCAGCACCACTTCCCTTGGAAGTTGGTTCCAGCTCCTAGCCGCCCTAACTGTGAAGTAGTTTTTGCGGATGTCCAGTCTATACCTCCTCTCCATCAACTTGTGCCCATTACTCCTTGTTATGCCAGCGGGCGCTAGGGGAGACAGTGTCTCCCCCAAACCCTTCTGGTCCCCCCTAGTTCCTTTTAACTTGCAAATAAATTATAGTTGCCAAACAAACCTGTACAAAAGCTAACAGAACTTTTCCATTTATTAATTTGCATTATAGTGGTTCTTTAAGATGCAAGTCTCCTGCCTGCTGTTCCAGGGTGAATTTTGTACGTGCAAGAGACAAGTTAGATTATAAGGGACAAGGGTAGAAGATGCTATATAATAAGTTTTTGGTTTTCTAGAATTGCTATTGTGATGTATCTATATATCACAATATGTATATATAGTGAAGGGATTTAATTGGGGTTGTTGCCAGAACACTGAACTGAGAAGGATAAGTGTAGAAATAGGGTTTGAATAGATACTTTGCTTGGAGGCTGCAAGTTTTACCTCTTGGCTATAAATTGAGAGTTTAGGGCCTGTTAGAGTGAGTGGCAGAAAGGATTAATTTGGTAAATGTGAGAAGTACTGCTAAGATATGGATAGGGTATGGATTCTTAGAAAAGGGAGAGTGAAATGTTGGCTCCTAGGGTTATCACTTTGTTGGGAGGGTGTTGATGTTAAGAGTGTGCTGCTTTGAAAGGCACGTTCACCTGCTCAGTTCTAGCTAGGCTGATGGCAAACTGATTCTTTTGGGTGATATCTTAGCAGATGCCATATTTGACAAATGGCACTTTGTGCCCAAAATGTTGTCTAACATCTTTTCCAACTGTGTAGTTGATCTAATAAAAGGTATTGCCAAGAAAACCTTGCTTCTCTAAGTTGGTGAAATTCCAGTGGAACTAAAAGACCTCCAGTGGTCATGTATGATAATTAACTAGCAAGTCACATTGATATCAGATACTGGTTTTATTGCTATGTGTTTTTTAAAGATTTAGCAGCCTTGTTGACCTTTTTGGGTTGTTTTTTTTTGAGGGGGGGTTAGGAGGGCTGGGTAACTAACATGGCGTGTTTATAGCTTATGTGCTGAGAAACTTGAAAGGCAAGGCATTGTTAAGCACTAGAAAGGAGGCATCCAAAGGACATTTGCTTAGTTCTCAGCATAACCTTCCTAACTTTAAATGATTTTAGTCAGTCTTGTTTTAATTGTGCAGTGAGAGAGTTGCTCTAAACTAGTAAGTTGAAGAATATAGTAGAGAGCTGTTTCTTTGCTCTATGTTTAAACCTGTGCAATTCACAGTCGCGTGAAATCACTCAACTACTGTGGTTGACCTATTAAAAAAGGCTGGTTAAATTTACTAATGCTTTTAACTACGTAAGTGAAGGACCAGGTAATCAAATCATGTGCATCACGATAGACATTATTCACCGCAGGAGTTGGGGAGGAATTCTTTCCGACTTTGCCCATGTGTAAAGCATTTTATAAGTGGTTGGATCTGCATTGCTAAAAGTTTGAGTCATAGCCTTGTGGCCACCGCTGGAGGCAGGATGCAGACTGATTTGGACAAAAGGTCTGATCTGGTTTGGCGGATCCTACGTTCCTAGGAAGGCTTGAGGATTAAACGGGTATTAAAACTTGAGTCAGGTTAAGGACTAGTCAGTACTGTGAGTTTTTTGGGAGAGCTAATGGTAAGTCTGACTCTAAGTAATTGCTGAGTTCTTAACGGCATAGAAAATTGCCAGTTGCTTCCAAATGTTTAAATTACTTGTGGACAGTGCTCATTAGTGCTCAACATGCTTTTCATCAACAACACTCTCACTAGGCTTCTTTCATGTTGAAAGTGTAACGTGAACCAGACCTATTTAACAAGTGTGGTTCAAGCTGAAACCAATATTAAGATTCATATGCTAGCCTTAGCGTGGTCCTCACTGTAAGGACAAAACTCAGGCTAAAAATCAGCTGAGCATCTCTTCTTTAGTACTAAAAGGAGGCCTTTGCAGAAAGGTGCATCCTGCTGAACACTATCCAGAAGCCAGAGGCCTGTGCTTAACTTGATTGTTTGCATATGTTTATACAACTCTTGTTCACTTGCATTCCCATGATGTGCTCACATCTTGCTTCTGGAGAGCAGCACATCTTGGCATGACAAATCCTAATTGCTCAAAAAAGCCATGAGTCAGAATCCCCGGAATTATGGTACTGGTTTAAAAATCACAAGATTGGATTTTGTGGGCTTGTTTTCTTTGTGCTTTGGTCTGAACCTTTAGAGTTCCAGTTTGTGATTTTTTTTTTTTTTTTTTTTTT